AGCTGATCCACCAGCTGCTCTTTGACCCGGGCTGGGTTCACGATCTGAGCGATGGCAGAGTCTACTCTCTGTCTCAGCTCCTCGGGCGACAGGTTCCCGATGTCCTCGTTCAGGTTCACGTCGAGCTTTTTGATCAGCTCGTCAATAATGACCTGAAAATAAATACAGAAAACAGATTATAGGAAAGAAGCACAAATTTGTTATGGGCAAAATTACACTTCATCCCGGGGTAAAGAGAGTATCTGCTTTGGTACATTTCTGTTGTTAAAGTGTTAACAGGAAGCTCAACCTTCTGAAGCTTAGTCAATGGTAAAGTCTACTAACTTGTGCTTTTTAACAACATGGTAGCAAACAGTGATTTCTATCCAGACTTTCGGATGGAGGTGTGAGTGATCAGATGTGCCCTAAAGCTCTGTCAGTAATGATCTTGATAAACATTTTCTGTTAAATGTGTTATTTGTGTCTTTTATTTTCTAATAATGTCTTTTTTGTATTTGTATGTTTGGCTGCTCGTTGATTGTGCTGCTGCCTGTTTCGACCAGGACACTCTTGAAAAAGAGATATTTAACCTCAACAAGTTTCTTCTTCTGGTTAAATACAATATAGATAAATAAAAACGCTTATGTTAGCCACAGCCTCAGATCACCACTGTGACAGAGTTCATCCTTACAGAAGAGGTAGCTGTGGTGTCAGGTGGCAGGTGAAAAAAAACAAGATTAGAGAAGATTTTAAAAAGTGGATTTGTAAAAAAAAAAAAGTAAAAATCCTGGTGTCACAGCAACATCTGACAACAAAACACAACGCAGAAATCCACCGGTTACATTAGGTGGCATATATTTGACCAGGCTTCCAAACTAATTGACGACACTCTCACAGTAAAACCTGAAGCGTTGGACTCGTTTTACCTGATCTGACACAGGTAAACACCACATTATGTGCTCAACATAACGGACAGATCATCTGGATGCAACAAAAGCTTGCGTCAATTAGGACGCTGTACTGTGACGTCTTCTAATATATATATAAAAAAAAATTTTTAAAACATGAGATTTCAAGGTTTTTGAAGAGCTAAACGTGTGACATGAAAGAGCTCAATTTGAGTCCATTGTTCTCCACAGTCCCACCTTCTGCCTCTCCATGACAACAGACTGCGGCAGCGAGTCGTAGCTGCCCTCCTGATAGGCGAAGCGCTCCAGATCATCCAGCTGCGTCTTCAGCTGGAAAATGAGATCTTTTTGTTTTTCCCTCTGAGCCTCCAGGCGCTCCCGCTTCTCCCTCTCGCTCTTGATGGGAGGAAACACACACAAGATGATTGTAATGTATGCAGACAGAGGCCTGAGTGCACACGCGGGAGTACAGGCAACAATGTGTGACACATTTAACTGAATATGCGAGTGTTGTGTTGTTATTTCACCACTGAGGGACAGACTGAATTAACACATTCACACAAAAACATTTGAAAGAGAGATCAGGTTTTATACTCACCAGATCGCCCTGCAAGTGAAGCATGTAACAATAGAGGAATGACATGAAAAGACCTTTTAGGGAGGGGAATGAAATCAGCATAATGATTGCAAACATTTATTATGCAAGGTTCGGCGTCAGTTAAGAAGAAATGTGAAGAGGCCGGGGTAAACAACGGCAGGCTGCTTAAACAAGGCTGTGTACACAGCAGTGTTCATTAGACAGTCAGTGACCCGCTGGAGGCCTTCTCATTGAGGGAGCGACGCTGTGAGTCAACACTTGTTGCAGAAAGCAACATTGTCGTCGGAGATAAGAGATCTCAGGGAACAAAAACCGAGGTGGGCGCAGCAGCAGCAGCAGCAGCAGCAGCAGCAGCAGCAGCCCCGAGTGTGACGCAAGAAGCTCACTCTAATCAGCTTTGATGAGAAGCCAGTGAGGTGAATCACTCCTGTCAATACGAGCGGCTTTAACACCTCACAGACGCACTGAGCATTTTGGTGTCTCTGTTTACATCTGAGGCTCCAACTGAGGATGTGTGCGTGTGTGAGGGTTAACTGTATCTGCAAGACTTTCTGCAACTAAACACACGTTTGATTTTAGATTATTCTGACATTCCTTTTGCTCAAATCATTGATTATTACTGGTTTTTAAATGTCAGAAAATAGTGAAAAATACATTCTGAATCCCTGACTGGTATTGAAAATGTCCTGTTCAGTGTAACATCAAGAAATATGAAGCTAACTATAAGAGACTGGAATTAAGCAGGGTGTAAGGAGACTGACAGGAGGGAATTTCTCCAGCAATCCGCCAAAAAACACAAAGAAGAAAAATGTCCCCAACATAAACACAACTTTAACTGTTAATATTCTGTCTGACAAGCAGCAGTTAATTTTCTTCTCTCAGCAAAATACTACATATAAGCCTACAGAATGGACTTATTTTTGGGGCGCTGGTGGCGCAGTGGTTGGTGCGTGCGCCCCACGCATTGAAGCCGTAGTCTTCCGAGCGGGCGGCCCGGGTTCGAGCCCAGCCTGTGGCTCCTTTCCCACATGTCACTCCCCACTCTCTCTCTCTCTCGCCCTGATTTCCAACTCTCTCCACTGTCCTATCTCTCAATTAAAGCACAAAAAGCCCCAAAAATAATCTTAAAATCAAAAATTTAAAAATTTAAAAAATAATAATAATGGACTTATTTCTTTAGCTCTAATGCAGAAAACCTAGTTTAAATTGATGGCATATAAATCCCATATATCCCGTGTGTTTTTTTTAATAACAATAACTCTTTCCATTGTAGTTACTGTGTAATTTTCCATTATTGTATTTTTTTTAATTTAACTGATGTAAATATGTTTGATTTGATTTTTGACTTCTATTTTTATTTTTTAATAATTATATTCCTGTCCCCTGTTTTCTTGAGCTGCTGTAATGCACAAATTTCTCAATACAGTTGATCTTTTATCTTTATAAATATCTAAATTGCGATGTAACGTTGACTTAAAAAAAACAAACAACAACTAAATGAAGGAATGTTTTCTCCAGTATCTTTCTCGGTGGTGAGTTCAGGGTCATGCTGGTTGCATTTGTTGTTGTCTTATGATGACGGGGGGGGGTCTCACCGAGTTCTCCAGCTGTGTGGCATCCTGAGCTCTGCAGCCCACGACGTGAGGGCAGCCCCTGAAGGCGAACTCCTCCAGCTCCACCAGCATCCTCTCCTTCTCGTCGCTCTGGGCGTGAACTATCTGCTTCAGTCGGAACTGCACCTGTGCGAAATGAGAGGTAAGGGCGAGGAGAGAGGAGTTCAGCTGGTCCTGCTCCTCTTCGAGCTTCTCCAGCCTGGTGGCCATTTCCTCCTTGTTGGCCGACGGCGAGCCTTTCTGCGTCGGCTGGCCGGCGCTCGGGCTCTCATCCTCGGGACTGGCCACAGCGCCAACCGGTGCCCATCGCTCCCCTGCGCCGGCCAAGACAGCTTCACTGTCCGAGGCTGACAGCTCCTCCGTGGACATTTTTTTTTAAGTGACCGAGTTCACTCCAGCAGTTAAACTTTTATCGTTAATTTATTCGCAGTCTGTTACCGAAGCTTTGTTTTCTCACACTGCGCACACACAACAACGGGGATCACCACCGGAGAAACAGGTGTAACGCCATCTTGGGACGGATGACTCATACGTCAAAGCGGAGACACACGTAAAGTTTCACGCAAGGACACAAACACCGACCGGAAGAACGTTCACCTTCAGAATAAAAGCGTCTATTTTACGAGTGAATAAAATACCATCAACATGCACATTTCATTAAGCTGACGAGAAAAATAACCAGAAACATAAAGCAGCACAGTGATAACACTTAGACACCGTCTAATGCATCATGTGTTCTTTGGTTTAATTTAAAATAAGTTTAATGTCACTGAAAACTCTACAAAATTGCATTAAAGTAGGCAAAATTGTATATAATATTTTAATAATAAATTAACAAGAGAAATGTTTTTTTCTTGATCAAGTACCATTTTTTGAATGTAGAAAAATGGCCGATTATCAGGAAGTATTTCCAGTTTATTCAAAGTATTTTCTGGAGACAGAAAACATTACATTTAGGCCTATTTTTTTGTTGTATAATTTATGTTATAACACAATACTTCTTTATAAAGATATTTCATAGACTAGGCAAGGCAAGTTTATTTATAAAGCACATTTCAACAACCAGGCAATTCAAACTGCTTCACACAAGACATCAAAAGCGTCATGACAGAGGAAAGAAAAGAAACATTAAAATAGATTTATTTTATTTTATTAAATTATTAAATCTGAACATATTTTAAAATAAAAAATAATTCAATTGAAATTAATTGAAATAAATAAAGTAAAAATATAAAAAGAGTTAAAAAAAAAAAAAAAAAAAAGACTAGTCATTGCAGCAAAAGTATAACTGAAATACTGGAATACTCTTACAAAACGTACATGCAGTAAATTTGTAGGCTATGTTTTGATTTTTTGTATGATCTTTTAATTTCTCCACTCATTTATTCATTTGATTTAGATACATGTTTCTAACTCCTAAGCGGGTCCATGCTATGACTTGTGAATCACTGGTCCTTTTCCAGCATTTTGGTTCATTTATTTGTATTTGACTTCATTGAAAAATTTACTTATTTTCGACTTTTATTTTTGTATGAATAACCCGAAGTTTTTATTTGTTATTCCTATTGAGCTTTACACTTCCCCCAGAGGGGAGGCTCAAAAGAGCCAAATACTGTGGTCACCAAAAACAAATCCTCACGTAAAAAAAAATAAAAACCTTTAGCAGTGACGTCAGCGTAAAAGTGAAATTCCTGCCCGGAAGTCAGGATAAGGAAAAACGGGATGAATCATTTTGTTCAAAGTTTGGAACACTTTCTTAATGTTTTAGGTATTTTCTTTTTACATTTTAAATGATAAAAATCTAAATAATTTAAGATGTCCTTTGTTCAAGTCTCTCCTGCTCTCTTTATAGGCACACAATAGTACAGTTTGTTCTCTTAAATGACTCAATAGACAACTTTCCCATGTTGTGACATCAGATCTTTATTGAGAAATATGTAGACACTTCTCTAACTCGAAATGAGAAGGAGCTGCGTCCAGCATGCATTTACCAACGTTTGCCTCGTGTGTGTTAGTGATTTTTATTTGAAAACACCATTCGATGAAAAGAAAGAAATCATTGCATATGTCTAAACACTCTGAATTTATTACATTCAAAGATATAAAAGCATGCCCCTTCATTGTGACAAGTTGCAGAGAAACGTCATTTGCAAAACAGGAAAAGCAGCAGAACACAGAGAAACAGATGACAGGACACAAAATCACATAGCCAGAGGAGTGCTTTGGTTGTTTTTCTTTATGGATGGAGTGGAGTTTCAAGTAGAATAACAAGGATCTATTTAACTAAACAGCGCAATCCGTCAGGACTGAACATCCTAACCATAATAATGCAATTCAATTCCACAGTGCTCCCTTACCTTTAGCTGCTATACCTCTCAGAACAAAGCGTTAAACAATAAGCCTAAAAATCCCCCTTTTTCATCCTTCTTCATTAGTGCTTTGCATGCAGGAAAATATCACAGTGATGAAATCATGTCTTCACACTATAAGAGCTCTCTTTTTGTTGGACATGAAGATGTGCCAGTCCTGCCAGTGGAGCGCAGTGTTTTGGACACATTCTCCAGCTGCAGTGCAGGTGAGGCCGGCGGGACAGCAGTGCAACCTGTCGCTGCAGCACACCGCCTGTGGAGAGGACACATGAAGTTTAGCAATGAGGTGGCCTCAAGTTAAAAAAGTATAAAAACTGCCTTTGTAAAGACGTTTAAGGATGAAAGTATAAAGGAACATTTCTTGCTCTATTCTTTCTGAACATACAGGAACCATTTTAATTTGTAGGCCATCAAGGTGACTCAGTTTGGTTAGTCTCGTGTGTATAAATACAGCATATTATCAATTCAATTTAAAAGCTGTTCATGTGTTTATATTTTGAACAGCCATTCAAATATTTATTGAATGTATTGATAATAGAGAGTAATGTTGCTGCTGAAGGTGAGGCACACTTAGTTGTGATTTTAAAATATAACATTGCAAGACAATTCATTAGAAGAGTATAATATATAGGCGATATTAGGAGAGTTTTAGAGGTACTAGTAGGTGTCTTTTAACACTGTGAGACAGCTAACAGATTGGCGGTTTCCCTTTGATTTCAGTCGTTCTGCTAAGCTACGCTAACTGACTTTCAGCATTATCTTACTTCTTCTGTGCACACAAGAGGATGGTATCAATCTTCTTAAGTACCTCTCATCAAGAAATCAACAAATAAAAGCTATTCTTTAACATGTTGAAGCTATAACTGGACGTCATACATTTGGAAATGGACAGCAGCCCCAAGTGGTGTCAGACATCTTGCAGCAGGTCTCTCCATCCGGGCAGCTTGTCTCGTCGTCACACTTGACGTCTTTGTGCTCTAAAGGAGGCAGCTGGGGTTGAGGCTCGGGCAGAAACACAGGAATTAGCGGCACTGTCTCCATCTCCAGCAGGATCAGCTTCCGACAGGAGTTGGAGGTGAGGTCGCAGGTGTAACCCTCTGGGCAGCAGTGTGTCTTATCTGGGCAGCACACAGCCTGCAGACAAGGCACGCACAAAGTTAGGGAACATGATATAGACCTTGTTTACGTGAGCAAACCCTCACAAAGCTGAATTACACTGATAGTCTGTCTGATTTTCATGTCAAAGTGGCTGCACTTTAATCTACAAAGGTATTGCTCACCTTCTCCAGCGGGCAGCATCCCCAGTCTCCCATGGACAGCTTGCAGCAGGTGGTGTGGTCGGGACATTGAGTCTGACCATCGCAATGCACAGACCCGGGATTAGCTGGGACGCTGGTGGTGGCTGGAAGTTTAGTGTACCACGGAATCACAACCTCTCCTTTAATGCACGTGTTCTTTTGCTCGTTGCACTTGTAGGTGGTGGGGCAGCAATGGTTTCCATCGGAGCAGCACACGGCCTGGGGAGAAGTGAGAGCAGAAGTGCAACTTTCACATCCTTTGCAAAAAAAAAAAAAAAATGCACCCTGTCAAAGCAATACATGAGATTCCAACCAAAGAATCATGAACATTTAGTCCAAGGAACTTGTTTTTGAGGAACTAACACTTTCCATTTCTCCTCTTTTGGTCCCACTTTTCACCGTGTCTTAAGACCCGTGATGTTTAGGCAAATAATTACGCCTACTCTACATAAAGACTCTACAAACATAAAGGTTACCACTTAGTTTTTACAAGTGGTGGCCAAAATGAAACGCTATGAGCACTCAACCAATCAGAAATGCTCATTCCCCCCCAAGTTCCTGTTTTTTCGAGAAGTAAAACCTATCAAGCAGGGACTTTTTGTGGTTAAAAAAAAAAAAATCCCTTCAAATAACCTTTGTCTGTACAGTGTGATCACATGCTTACATGAACCTAAACTTCTGTTACTTAAAAGTGAAAGAAGCAATAGCAGCAGTATGTTTAGCCTGTAGCTGATGTAAAAAAATATATTTACAAATGAACACAGGAAAGTAAGAGATGACCGCTACAGAAGGTGAAGTATAACAAAATGTAAAGTCATGATATTACTGTGGTTCACTTCTTGATGTAGAATACCATTCTCACCTCTGGCAGCGGGCAGCAGCCCCACTTTTGAGGTGTCTTCATGAAGCAGCAGGTTGTACCCTGAGGGCAGGTGGTGTGGGGGTCGCACTTATAGCAACCTCCACTGTTTTATTCTCCCCGTCGTCTGTTGTCACCTCGTCCTCCGCCGGCTTCGTCTCACCCTGAGCCGTTGTTTGCAGCGTGGTTGTCACCTCTGTGAGTTGGGATTCAGTCTGCGTTGTAGTGAATGCCCTTGTTGCAAATGCAGGAATCTTCTGCTGCATGGGTGTAGAGCCTGAGCCTTGCTCACAGCTGAGGGTCGCGAGGTCACAGGTGGTGCCAGAGGGGCAGCAGTGTTCATGGTCGTCGCAGCAGACCGCCTTTTGAAATAAACAGAGTTAGGTTGGATGCATGAGGGAAAGGAAGTGTGGTGTGAAAGTAAATACAAAATCAAGAGCCAGTGAAAGAGTGGGAACATTTCTGCTCAAAATGCTCTTTTGAATGTAAGACTTGTCCTTACATTAAAGGGGACATATTATGACCACTTTGACAGTGTTTTTGAACAGAAATTTGAGTAACCTGAGTGTCTACTGACCCATAAAATGTGAAATAAACCCATCCAGTCCTTTGTTAGTCGTCTGCACAAGTCTTACAATACAGAGCAAAGGGCTCAGTTTCAAATTTGCTCTCCTTGTGATGTCACAGTGGGATTCTGGTAAAAAAAGAGCAAACATTTGGCGCAGGTCTGCCATTTTTATCCTCGCTACAGAGGAGTGATGTCTACCGGGAAAACTTGGGGGGGGGGGTTAGGGTGCATTTAAAGAGACACACACACCAAAACAGAGCGTTCTGAGAGAGCTGGTTTATACAGGGTCACAAACCTCCTCTGGTGCTTGATTCATGTTATATTTTGACCAAAGCACAGCACGGATGTTTCATTTAGACCACAGGGGGCTGTTTGAAAAGTTTGAAAAGTGGGATAATATGTCCTCTTTAAATATCAGCTGTTGGTGTTAGCTTAAAATGTTCCATACTGTACAGGCATGAGGGCAGTAAAGTTCTTCCTCTCTGAGTACCTTGGCAAAGGGACAGCAGGCCCAGTCTCCTGTTGTTGTCTTGCAGCAGGTGGAGTCATCAGGACAACTATATGACTCGTCACATGCAACATCACCCACTCGAGCACCCTGCCGGGGGATTGTGGGTGCCTTCTTGACCATTGGCACAGAGCACGTTCCATCGTCGCAGGTCCCCGCAGCCACGTTGCATTTCTTACCTTTCGGGCAGCAGTGAATAAAATCTTCACAACAAACCGCCTGGGATCGACATGATCACGTTAGATGCATTGATCTCAACATTAAAAGTCAGAGTTTAAGATTCTGTCAGAAATATTACAGCTGAAACAATACCTCCGGTAGGGGACAGCAAGCCCAGCCACCTTCCTTGGTTTTACAGCATGTTGAGCCATCTGGACATGATGCTGTACTATTGCAGGGTACATCATTACCTGGGAACATAAAAACCACAGCAACTTCTCATGAATATTAAAAAAATATGCCCTCATACTGAGACAAAAATATGAAGATTTTTAAGGATAAAAACGCGGCAAATTCAATTAAAATGTACATTAATATATAATATAATAAGTGACAAAAAACTGTACCAGTACAATGTGGTAACAATAACACAGCTTGAGTACAGCAAGGTTATTGTACAATTTTTTCAGATGTTTTTTTAGGAAGGTCTCCAATTCTGCAACTTTGGTTTCACACTTTTTTGTTAATGGAAAGCTGATAATGGGCAAGTTAACTGTTAACTTCATTTGAACCTTTATAGCCCTGTCAAGTAGTGATAGGAACACAGACAGTTTGTCTTGTCATAGCAGGAAATGCTGGAGCTTAAAACTTCAACACCCAGCTGACACACCTGTTCTCATCATTATGCAAAATTTTTTTTGGTGTTTTCTTGTTGTTCACTCTTTGATGCATGATAAACTTCTAACCTGCGGCTGCCTGAGTGAAGGTTGAGAGCGATACTTCCTTTTTTGTTGAGGGAAATGTATTCACTGTGGTGGCTTCAGGGGTTTTTCCTGAGGCAGGGTCATTGTGAACTGTCTCTGCTGTCACTTGTTCTCCCTCTAAAAGTGGAAACACACACACACACACAGGTTCTGCTGCATGAGCACATGCAGAATGAGATTTACACAATGATTCAGTTGAGGAAGTACATTTACTCAGAAAAACAAATCTGACCTTTCTGGTTCTCCCACTCCGCTCTGATTCGAGCAGGGAATTTGGCCCACATCGGAGACACTTTATTCGTAGAGGATGAAATACACTTTGATTGCTCGACATCGCATGTGTTCCCTTCAGGACAGCAGTGAATCTTATCGGAACAGCACACAGCCTGTTCGGACAATAAAGACACACATGGAGTTCACCTTTTACATGATAAGACACCATAAAGTCATGATAAGTGGACATAAAGACAGGAAATGCAAATCCCTGATTTGACTCTTACTCATTCATGCCTCACTTACATGTGGAGTAACATGTGGCTAACATAAAATTTTACCTATAAAACATGTTCATACCTTTGGAAGTGGACAACATCCCCACCCGCCATCTGAAGATTCACAGCACGTCGTCCCATCAGGACACTCGGTCACTTTGTCACCACACATAACTGTGGTTACAAACTCTGCAACAACATAACAACAACTAAATGAGTCATATTTCAAAAAGGCGTTTATCAATTGTTTAAAGGCTTGGTAGTTAAAGAAAATAAATTAATTTTTAGAGCACCTTTTAAAGCTCCCGTGAGGAACTTTTTGTTTGAGTTGTGTACATGTGTAGGTAGTGTTTTTGACAATAAATCTCACCCTGCTTTCTTTTAACAAACACATGTATCACTAATTTGTGAATATTTTGTATGAAGTTATAAAGAAGGTGTTTCCGCATCCAAATATCTCATGAAATAGGAGTGCATTGTGTGTAACTATAGTATTGAAAAGAAAAAGGTGTTTGTCAATAGGTTCAGAGGGATTGAACTGGCCTGTTATTGTCTCATCTGACATCTACGCCTTGGCAGTCGTTACAAGCATTAAAATGACTTTATAGAAATACTCAGTCTTTTTCAATTTTAGTCTGTTTAGTAAAAAAAAAAACTTCTCATGGGGGCTTTCAACACACCCAATTCCAAATGCTGTATTTAAGACATTTAAATGCAATGAGAGGAATACAACATAAAAACAAGGCAATATAAAACTACTGAAGTCAAAAAAAAAAAAAGTCATAACACTAGAAATGTTACAAGCCATGAATTAAGGAACTGAGAGTGAAAGTAGACCTTAAGCTTTTTCCGATATGCTGCTTCTCCAGGTTTTGTTTTGACTGAGCACAGAATAAGCAGACTATTAATGAATAATAGATATTCTATTAGGCCTGGATGATTCATGCCAGAGCAGAATATCAGCAAGATTCATATTCTTAAATAAATTCTTTGAATCAGCTGCACTTGTCTACATAGTCTGCTGTAGATTTGAAAATGAAGTCTGAGTCCAGGACCTCACCATGATTTTTGGCTTTGTTTGCGGACCTAAAGTGACATGAAAATGAACTTTAAATAATGCTTCTTTGATTAAAAAAACAGTTAGTTCAATTTCATTGTTGTTTACTTGAATGAAGTTTTTGTACTTCAGATCATTCATTTTTGTGATGCACTTACTCAATAGTAATAGATTAATGTGTGTTTTCTGCATAATAATGAAAAACATTTTGTACTTATCACTAAACTGAACAAGTGGGGTGTAGAACAGATGAGGCCCGAGGATTGAGCCTTGAGGAACTCCAAGACATGTTTGTTTATACTTAATAAGATAAGTTCTTGCACATTAACAGGCATGCGTATAAGACTCACTTCAGTTTAGAGCTGAGTCGAAAAGACCTTGATGTTTTCCTGACTGTCTGGTAATATGTTATTATTGTACTTAGTAAAGGAGTTTTACCTTTTTTGATGCAGGAGCGACAGTCGACACTGCACTGGTGGCCCTCTGGACAGCAGTGTTTCCCGTCAGAGCAGGGGACTCCCTTCAAGGAGTTAAGTAAAGAATTAGAATAGTTCACTTAATAAATGCATTTCCTCTGATCACATTTTTAAATCTAAACGTTATCACTCCAAATAGATGCACTCGTAGGCATCTAAATGTCCCATTTGGTCTGTTTCTGCACTGGATGAAATTGAAGTGATAAAGTAATCCAGTAAATGACTATGCAGCATAACACAGGAAACTAAGGCCATTTTATTCAGTGCAAACAGATATTCAGCTCTGCTACATAATTTCTGACACTAGCAGAAATCTCATTCAGCATATTCTAATTTTGTTTATAGTGAAAGTGCTCAGTTAGAAAACTTCTTTTGTGAGAGACGGTAACCAGACTTCTAGAAATACATATTGCAAATGTGAACTCAAAATAGTCCAGCATGTATGAGTGGTCAACTAAAGGACACTATGACTTGTTTTGTCATTTGAATAACCTAATAAGAAAGGGATGAGGGCATTTAAAAAAAAAATCTATAGTCAAATTGTGTATAGTCAAAAACGTTTCAGCAGAATTTGAAGTTGTATTGCATCCTTTTTTCTTAAAAACTGAACTACGCAGTATGTTGGTGTTTAAAAAATGCGTCAGGGTGTAACCATACCTATGTTGGACCAGGTTTAATTACCTGAGCTAAGGGACAGCAGCCAAACTTTGTCAAGGCCCTCAGACAAGAAAACTCAGCTGGGCATCGCGACTGATCAGGACATATGTTGTCATCCTCTTCCCCGATGTATGACTTGATCATCCTAAAGGACTGCAGGAACAAGGTGGGAAAGACAATCTTACAGCAGGCACGTTCATGTCATATGTCATGTTTCACTCAGTGTTTTAGATTTAAAACATCAAGATGGTTGTATTCTTACTCTTGAGAGTCTGGGTGTATTGGCAGAAGTTCTTTCTGTCCAGCGGACGGACACAGTAGCGTTCACACAGCTGGATGTTGCTGTGTCACAGAGTGTTCCCGCAGGACAGCAATGGTCATGATCCTCACAGCACTCACCCTACAAAGACAGTAGTAGTAGGAACAGTTTGACTAGCAAAGTTTTAAAAATGCTATCACACTGGCCAAATGAGGCCCGAGCTTTTATCTGGCTGATGAAGCAGTAAAACACCACTGAACATGAATAGAACCATTGTACAGCCATAATTACCTTTCTTTAAGAGTACAAAAGTACGGCTATCTCACATTTACATTTTACTACGTGATGGGTGTAGGGAGTAAGTATTTTACTAAAGTAAAGTCAGAGAAGGCTACTATCACTTAGCTGTGGTTTGCCCTTTTAAAAGGTAAAGGTGAGCTTCCATAGTGCATCCACACATACATTTAAAGATACATTCACATTTCTGGGGGAAGTAGGTAAATTAAGCTGCACCAAGGCTAGCTGTAGCCACCTTTAACTCGCTTGAAAAGGTTTTGTTGCTGTACCTAAATTAACTTTCATTAAGCTATGTTTTGTTTTAACTGCACAGGTTGACCACTTTTATTTTAATTATTCATCCTAAGACATTAAATCCACAAACATGTCAGCAATGTAGATTCTGGTTTTCAGTTAAGTTTGAAGATAATTCGACCAACTAAAAGACTTAGAGCTGAAGTAGGTTTGATGTTTTACAGGTTGACTGTCACTTTGTACATATAGATAGGTAGAATGAACTTCTTCTGATTCTATTTTACACGACCATTCGATGACAAAAAGAGATATCTCGAAGCAAGACAAACCAAAATGAATGCTTCTGACTCTTGCAACCAAAAGTTACATCTTCAGTTTTGAACACATACAGTTTAAAGATTGTTTTTTAACAAGCAGGAGTAAACCTGTTTTATTTGTTTTGTGCAGTTAGTTTCTTTTGTAAGGATGACTCTCCTCTACACTTAATTGTAAAATGATCAATGTCTGGTGCCAAGATATCCAGTTATAATATGTGTAAGTAAAACGCCTCATTCCAAAAAGGTTACGACAGTTCATTTTGATTTATTTCTCCTGCCAAACATTTTGTATCTTCATAAAAATGCTTGGCATTCAGGAAGTAGGCCACAATAATATCTACCTGTTCAAAGGGGCAGCATTCATAGCCATTGATCGGGTCGTTACAGCAGGTCTGACCGTCTTTACATCTCCCTCCATCTGGACACTCATGAGCACCGACCAGGGCCAGGAGAGCGCAAAAAAACACAACCCACCTCTGCATCTGCACACAGGAAGGACACACACACATTAACAGAGCGCTTCTTTAATGAAGGAAAAGTGAAAGGTGGAATTCCCCCAAACCACAGTCAACACCAGAAATGGATTTTGCATTAAAATCTGCAACCTGATCTGCGGAAGAAAATTGATGGATGGATGGATCTGCAAAAACTATTTAACACGTATAAGTGTATAAAAACAGATAACACAATGTACAGACTGTAAAGGTTCCTTTAATCCTTTGTTCCTGTTTTTTGTTTTCTCTACTTCGAAATAAGCAAGTCAAATCCGGAGATAATAATTATTAGAAAAACAACTCCACCCTTTCAGTTTCGTTCAGTTTGCACAACGCGTCAACGGAATGAAATCAAATAAAAAAGCGCACAATGGTGGAACAGTCTAAAGGTGAGAGTCGCGGTGTTACTGTAAATTAGTAAATAATTGTGAAAGGTTGTGATAATTAAGTTTCTTTTTTTTGTTATTAATGTAGGCCTAAAAAAGGTTAAAAAAAAAAGTTTATTTATTTCTTACCTTGCTATAAGATTGAAGAGCTGCTGTGAATAGAAAGCTGTTTCACAAGTGTCTCAACAGTCACGACTAGGGATCACTAATCATGACCTGCATGATATGAAAACCTAAAACACGCCCCCGAGAGACAGAGAGAGAGAGAGAGAGAGAAAGAGAGAGAGAGAGAGAGAGAGAGAGAGAGAGAATATGCAGCGCCTCTCCTGGTTTCTTCATTTCACTTTTTACTTAAATGAGTTTGCTCCCGTTTCTGCACTTAATCAGGTTCAAGTTTGACTACCGGGTTCTCGTGTTTACATGCCGACAGCTGCAGAGCACCACATTGACGTGTCCAGCAGGCGGCGCCACAGCGACTGCAGCGGACAGGGTTGCGAGGGGGGGGGCGGAGCCAAATGAATTCCGCTCCGTCACCGCTGATCTCTAAAGCATGTGCACCGGCCTTTGCGTTCATTAAACGCCTACGCAGTTTGTGTGCAGATCAGTGACACCTCCGTGGGCTGTTATGCGCACAATCTGTGACTTCTAAAATGCCCTGCTGCGACTCTTGCAACAACATGTTCACGGGTCGACCACCACCATGGATTTTAGCGTCATTAGCTCTTGAATGTAATCGGTATTTCTTTTACTGAAATGGGCCAAGACGCCACAAAAAGCAACGCTGCCAGCTTAATTGAGGTGAGTGTTTTGCGTGTTAGCCACACAAAATACACAGTGCTAGAAATGCTATCAAGCGAGCTACTCACTTAGCATTGTTAAAAAAAAAATTAAAAAAAAGATAGCTGCATGATTTATATCAGTCAGGCCTGTTTCAATGCTTTCAAAATATTTTCAAATATTTTTTTTTTCAAAATAAAATTGAGTTAAAGAATTCAAATGTTGTTTTAAACCTAAAATTAGCTTGCCAACGATGGAGAAATTAAAAAAAAAAAAAAAAAACTGTGCCTTAACTGTAGGTTTTATCTTTATTTCTGGAGACAACGTGATAAGACTTTTTAAGACATTTTATAGTTTTTTTTTCAATTTGTGTCCTTTAAACGTGTGAGGCTTCTTCTTAACATTGGGTAATGAAGTTGAAGGTTGAAGGTGACATAAAGACCTCCTCCCACACACACACACACACACACACACACACACACACACACACACACACACACACACACACACACACACACACACACACACACACACACACACACACACACACAATGTAATAGTTACATGTATGGTAGTTTTGGCTACTCAGGTAGAGGAGTTCTTGTTTGTCAAGGAATGAATTGTCCAGAGCCTTTCACTGTCATTCTGAAGAGTAATTAAATCCAGAAATACAACCTCCCAAAAGGAAACAAAAGACAGCCACACAGGCTGGAAAACAGTGTTTGAAAAGACTGTTACTTAGCTAAACGTGCTCCCCAAAACTCATGTTTCATTAGATTATTCCACCTGTTGGTCCCAGACTTCCTGACATTGTGTAGACTTTCTTAAAAACAAACAAACAATGAACTCTTATTTAGAGTCATCGCAGCCATGAGGACAATCTTGAACAACTGTTTATCTACGTGCCAGTTGTTCACTTTCTCGGTTGGGGATGGGTCTCTCTGCTGTTGTGCGTTTTGCACATGCTCATTGTAGATAAGTTATCGTAATGTTTTCAACGGCCCCCGTTACAGCAACTCCACCTAAGACGTAACCAGCTCACATTAAAGGAAGTGCAGTCTTACTCGCGCGTGTTCTCGTCCCGTTGGATTGCACTGTTCTTTTCAGCTTTTTGTCGACGCGACACTAGTTTGGAGAATCCCCCGGAGGAGCAGGCGTTACACAAGAAGTTATTTGACGTAACAGCTCACAAACCAAGTCACAAACCGGGTGTTCGGTTACAACGCTAGTCAGTTGTTTTACATGACATCCGGCCACAAAGCCTCCACTGGGTCAGACAACACCTCACAGGAGATAACTTACAGAACATTGTGTCTTCTTTGGAGTAAAGTGGTGTTTCTTTTCTTCTTCTGTGACAGGTGTGCAGGATGGGCGAGCGAGCTGTCAGCGGCCCTGTGGCTGCTATCTCACCAGTGCAGCAGATGCTGGCTTCTGGCACCGGGGCCCTCCTCACATCTGTCTTTGGTAAGCAAATGGAGACAAATTCTACCAGAAGAAAGTTGGGTCTGTCTTTAGAAGTTTCCTAAACAGTCAGTTTTTTTCCCGTGAACACACTTTGTTTTTGTTATGTCACTTCGTTACCAGTTTCTTCGTTACTTGTAAACCTAAATAGAATTCTGCCTCATGGTAATGTCAAGGTTTTACCTCAACATTGTTCGAGATGTGTTGATTCAGCATTTGAATTACAGTAACAGTTGTTTGAGTTATTGATGCAAATACTAAAAACACCTGCCCGACAAAATATATCCTCAATATCTACCAACAACTTCATGAATAGAGGATTTATTGCAGGACTCTAGCATTAGACCACATTATTGTTAGCCTGGTGTAAGCGAGCCACAACAACACCTTTGTTATTAATAAATTTGTCAATGCATTCGTTCACAGTCACACCGCTGGACGTTGTGAAGATCAGGCTGCAGGCTCAGCAAACACCGTTCCGCCAAGGTAAGAGAAGCCGCTCCACATCTTTTGGATCTTACTTCATTAAAGCTCCTGTGAGGAACTTTTCATTTGTGTTTGTTTGGCGCCCCCATGTGGACAAAAAAAGTGGACACAACACAGCGTCAGCATCTTATCGCTTTTCCTATTTTGTGTTTAAAAAAAAAATAAAAAATCTCATCCTGCTTTCAAATGTGTCAACTGATCGAGAATATTTGCTGTGATTATTGTGATCGGAGCTGTTTCTGAAGCAGGCTTTTACTCACGTCGCTGACACCTGCAGCAGCTACAGACATCAAAAATAACTATTGAGAAAAAGGAAATGTTAATGCTGATGGTCTTGTTGGCTTTTGATGGTCATATAGCGACAGCAGTATTCATTTCAGTCCGTTTAAGAACTCCTCGCGGGACCTTTAAACTCATACTACCTGCTTTGCCTTTAACCCCTGCTTGTTGATGCCTCGTGAAGGTATCTTGATGCTTCTTTAACCCTACACATGACCTGTGTGTGTGTCTGTATACGTCACTGTCTGTCCTGCTTTTGTGCTTTGTTCCATAGCGTTAGCCCGTGAAGCAGCTCCGTGGGGTGACATCATCCGCCCGTCCAAGTGTGAGTATCTGACCTGCCGTGGCTGCATGCAGAAACGAGGACGTTGTTTAAAATGAACACAGTCGTCCAGCAAAACAGTGTGTTTGTGTGTGTGTGTGTGTGTGTGTGTGTGTGTGTGTGTGGGGGGGGGGGGGGGGGGCACATGCTCAACTAACCAAACCTCACGTGCCAACAAACAAACAAGATGACCTGTTTGCATATACATTCACATGTGTAGTGTGAGTGTAGAAGTTCAGGATGTTGATCTTGTTATCTAGTCTTATTTGTTTTCTAATGTACAGGATGGCTTTAAACCATCATTTCATGCTGACAGAGTTTCACAGTTTCAACATTTCAAACGACAAAACAGCGATGGAGATGTTCCCTCGTTACATGCCATTGTTTACAACGTTACTGTACATCCTTTCTGAAAGTATTCTTCACTCATTTACCTTGGATCCTGTCCTGAGCAAATATTATGTTTTGTTTCCTGCAATGATTCCTCAACTCGGAGAAGCTGGTTGTGAAATGATTTTATTTTTATTTTTTTGGGGGGGTGGATCGTCAATAGTCTATCTTAAACCAGCTCTGGACAAACAGACAAAGTAAGCAGTAGGCAAGGACGTCAGCGGTGTTATCACCTGAGTGACTCTATGGTCATTGCCATGCCGTGTATTATCAGTCACCTCTCTGTTAGGGAGGGAGGGGACAGCTCAGTTTAGAAAAAATGAAAACACACTGCAGAACAAAATGTGGAAACATGAATTTCAGGAATAGAGTTGATGAATGTTTTTGTTTTTTGTCTCATGTTGTAAACTCCTCTAACGTCTGCGTATTGTGTCTCTCACAGGGAAGTGTTTCTTGTACTGTAACGGGCTGATGGATCACGTCTACGTGTGTCGGAACGGAACCAGTTGTACGAGCTGGTACAAAACACCCACGCATTTCAGCGGGACGCTTGTGAGTCCGAGTACAGCTGTGGCTTTTTGGTTTGACGCAGTGTGTGTGTGTGTTTGTTATTCTTCACACCATGAGTGACATGTTTGTTTGTTTGTTTGTGACTCAGGACGCGTTTGTGAAAATCACTCGACATGAAGGACTCCGGTCGTTGTGGAGCGGTCTGCCACCGACACTGTGAGTGTTTAAACTCTCATCGAGACTGCACACGTCGAATTCATTTCTGTTAGTGCGAGGAAGATGTTTAAATAGTTAGTGATTAGTGCTGTCCACATTTTCTTTTTGAAACCTTTGTTCATTGCATGTGTGTGTGTGTGTGTGTGTGTGTGTGTGCAGTGTCATGGCTGTACCTGCCACCGTCATCTACTTCACCTGCTACGACCAGCTGAGGGACTTCCTGAGATACGGTCTGGGTTTCCAGGGGAGTCATATCCCTCTTGTTGCCGGGGGTCTGGCCAGATGTAAGTCAATTAAACCAGGATCAGATGTCCTGATTGTATTACGTTAACAGGATTTTGAAGGCGTGTGTGTGTGTTCATGTGTTGCAGTGGGTGCTGTGACGGTGATCAGCCCTCTGGAGCTCGTCAGGACTAAGATGCAGTCCCGTCGGCTTCCCTACAGCGAGCTGCGGGCGTGTATCCGCTCGTCCGTGGCCCAGGACGGCCTGCTGTCTCTGTGGAGGGGCTGGGGTCCCACCGTGCTCAGAGACGTCCCCTTCTCTGGTGAGAGCTGCACCTCACAATCCAGACGAATGACACTTTGAACCCAAGAAGGGAACGTTTCATCCTCTTTTGTGTTGCCAGTGTATTTCCACTCTTCTTTGATACTTTAAATACGTCCCAAAAATGTATATTGTAGCCATTAGATCACTTTCTTTACACCTGTATCTGTGTGTGTTTGTGTTTTGCAGCATTGTACTGGTTTAACTATGAGCTGGTGAAGGCCCACCTGTGTGAAAAGTCCCAAGTGACTCA